AGTTTGTTGTATCTGATATGGAATATTTTGAGAGTGATGTATAGAAGACTCTTGCTGATATGATTGATCAGAAGTTTGTTGCATAGGATTAAAGTCAGTTTCACCATAAACGTTCTGATATGGAATGTTTTGAGAGTGATCCATAGAAGACTGTTGTTGATTGAAAATTTGTTGATAAGGATTTAAGATACTATTAAAAGGAGGAAGTTGCTGTTGTTGTTGTGAATATGTTTGTTGTTCATTCCAATTATTTTCTGTTACAGGCTGAAAAAATATTTAAATATTAGTATTATATATATTTTTTAAAATTAATCTATAATCATGCAAACTAAGATTGCTCACTCTTAAAGTTAATAAAACAATTATTAATGTAATATAACTACAGTAAATTTTAATTCGTTTAAAAAAAATACCATAGAGGAAGGAAAATCTTGGACAGGCTGCATAACATCACTATTTTCATTGTAATAAAGAGGCCCTTGTTGTGATTTTTGTGAAGAATATTCTTGTTCATGCATTGAATTATAAGAGTGTTGGGAGGGATCTGAATAAGCAGTATCAGTGGGTGAATCATGTTGTGAATAAGTTTGTGTTTTATCCCAGTTATTCCAAGTGCTTTCCGGAATATGCTGAAAGGAATTTTTAAATATATTCATAAATTTGTGCCAAAAATTTTATCCATTACAAATATTATCATGATTTCAAAAATCGTTATAACAAACATTTCTATTTTGAAATTCTGGAAGATATCTATAATAAGAGTGCTGAAATTCGAAAATGTTTGCTGGCTTAAATTTACTTGGTTTACATATTCAGTTTCTGCTTACTTACTTGATCATGATAATTTTGCTGAATAGTATTAATTTCATGAGATTGTGTATGACTTTCAGGAATTATCATTGTTTGTGCTGCTGCAGCATTGGTCTGTAATAACATTTCTTAAGAATTATTGTTTACAAAACTTACTGCATTGAAAAAAATATAATTTTCAGATTCTATAATATTTTCATAGTTGCGTACAAATGATGGATTAATTGCTGTATCCGGATTTAACGGATAATCAGCCTGATTTTGTATTGGCTGTAGTGGAACTAAATCATCTGCCGGCATATTCCAAATATATGAATAAGGATAAGACTCTGTTCCTGGATTAATAGAGTCCAGGAATCCCGCGAACTCTTGATTGATAATCGGATTGCGCCCAAACTAAAACTTTTTTAAAGGAAAAATAGCTCAATAATTTGTATTTGCATTTTACTTAGTACATTATTGAAAGATCAAAGTATTACAGTGAAAGATGTAAAAATGTATTGCAAAGATTTCTACTTTTTATTCGTATAGAAATATAATACTAGAAAGATGAATGAAAATGATTTTTGTATTTTCACTTAATTAAAAAATTTAACTGGAAACTTTCTTAAACAAAATTTAAAAATTGGTATATTTATGACAATTCAAACCGGAATAGGAGTTGAAGTTGATGATGTTAGCAGTATACGAAACGATAACGTAAGTATGAAAAGCATTATGCGTGCCATTCTCTTGACCAGTTTGAGTTTTTACTAGTAATAAATTTAATTATTAAATCTATAGCAAATTATGCAAGCAATTATATTAGTATTGAACTGATTTTAAATCTTCGGTAAATACAATAGGCAAAGCCTTCTAAAGCATCAAATTTATATTATATGAAATTTCTTAACTCTAATTACTTCTCCCCTGTACTTCAATATTTCTTATAAATTTTATAGATCTTAAATTTATTAAAAAACTACAGTATCATTGATTACTTATTTTTAAAGTAATCCATGACGCTGTAGCTTTTTTTAAAATGTTTAACTTTATAAATTTTACGAAACTGATTTTCAAAATAAAATATTAGATAATTTTACAGCACACTTGCTAACAAAAGTAAATAATATAACTTTTGCACAAACTTGGTTGATGAAGAAAATTTAGTCTCATAAATTATTGATGGTATTAGAAGAGGAAAATTATTTTTATGCAATACAAATCAAAGGTTATGTATTTATTATTTTGGATCGCATTTAAAGTAAAATGAATACAATACTAACCTCAGAGTTAAGCACACACACATGCACACACACAAACATAATATTCAACAGAATATTTAACTAGCATACATCATCAAGTAATTCAATATATTCAAATCAAATTCCTACTTGAATTCCAAATGAGTACTTACACGAAGAAATCTTTGACTAACCAGCATTACTAAGCAAACCTTTAAAACTCTTTGCTTCTCACATGAATATGAGTGTATTCTTTTGCGACATATATATATCCATAAATTTAGCTATTTTGTATTAATATCACTTTACTAAAGCTAACATTTACAGACTAGTAAGAAATATCACTTCATTGAATGTATGAGTAGTAGGTGAAGATTAACTCCTTACCTTCCTTTTTCTCCTTTTTTTTGAATTTAAAAATTTTTTCACTCCCATCTTTCTCATGACAACCAATTGCATAATCCTGCAAGCACACCACAGAAGACCAATGATCGAAATAAGTTGAAAAATTCACCACAAACACGTCTGAAAGTCAATCAATCGACATAATTTTTACAGCCTCATCAAAGGGGCCATAAAATCGCGATTTTAGAGCAAGTGGAACATGACTGTTGTTTATACTTCTATAGGTTCACACATGACGAAAAATTTGAAAATTTGATACAAGTTTAATAGACTGGTATCGCTAGTATAAGGACTTACGATACACTCTATTTACAACCAACAGTTTGATTTTAATACGAAGCATATGCACATGATGCTTAACTTTTTAAAAGAGATAATGTTAACCAGATCTTAATATATACCAACCACTTTCGTTGCTATGAGAAGATTTTACTCTGTGGTATTGTTTTAAGTTTAATCGTTGAATTGCAAAGATGAATAATATGACTGTTAACAACAGCTACGTTGAGAAGAAATAAGATTTATTACTGATTAGACCAACAACTTTCTAATCTTATGCAAGATTAGAATAATCTCATTTACAACTCATAACAATTCCCAATATGATTCTCAAACAAGAAGCATCAAAATAGGAGGAAAGTGAGATGAATATTCTTACCCCATAATTCATTTCCTTCATAGTTCAAAAATCTCTTTTATTTCCTTCTTTAATTTAATTTCATGTACCACCAAAAAAATCCATTTCTATTACATGTTTCTCCAGCATTCAGATAAGTAACAGAACCAAACTGGAAATATAGCGAAAATTAAAATTACAATGTACCCTAATTACTCGGTTCTCAAAATTTTGCTTGGTGAGTATCCTTCATCTACTTCTGATAATGGTCGCTTTTTGCCAATTTCATTTTCTGTTTTTTCTGAAAAAAAAGCAAGCGGTAAAATACGGAGAATGTTTGCACAGCATGCATGAAATATTGGAATTTTTCGGTTCAAACCACTTTATATTAGCATACTTAATGTTTCATTAATTTTTTCAGATAAAAAAGAACCTTGCAAGCATCACTGTCAATATGATTAAAACTGTGAAAATTGTTGCGTAGAAACAAATTTACGAAGAGTTTCCATTAAAAATGCACAAAGACGCACCGTGCTGCGAAGGATCTCCACTGTCCATTTCGATTATAAACTCATCAATTTTCAATTTATCGTCATGTTTAATACGTAGTCTGAATTCTAATTTTTGCAAGAAATCATCGCATTCTAAGATGCAATTATGAATAACACCAACTTTCTCTAGAACTTGTCCGCTAATAGCTGCAAAAAAATTACCGAAATTATTGAAAAAAAACTTATTTATACTAAGAATAATTCCACCAGAAGTATTTAATTTTTAATTAAATGTTTATTTAAAAATATATGTACTGTTGTTTGAATGGAAATTAGATTCTTTTGATTGTTTTTCGTCTGTTTGAAAGATACTGAATAGAAAATCACTGCAACGCACCAGTGGTTTCCCCTTCTTCACTTGAGATAACGATGCTGCCGGTTAAGGAAATCATTGCGTCTGGTGCAACCATATGTAACATTCCTTTCAAAACTTTATTTTCCAGCAAATGAACGGTAGCTAGCTTAACATTTAATTTCACCGTAACCTCACGTCGCTCCGAACAAACATAGCACACTGGATTAGGATTACAGGGAACTTCATCGACCAAAATTTTGCCACGAGGATTAGGTTGAGGCTTTATAAAGATCTGAACAGAAATTTATGAATTTTACTATATAAAATGACTTCCAGAAAAAGTTGCAGGAATTTATTTATCAACGCAAAAAATAAATTTCTAATTAATACGTAGAAAAATGTAAACTCTTCATAACGATATTTTATCATATAATATGAATAGTTACCATGTAAATGGGATGAGAGAAAGGAAAGATTTATAAAAACTAACATTTCGTAAATCTTGCCTTGTATCAAAAATAACTTTCATTGCTTCAATGACAATCAGTCCTGCTACTACAGAATTCGTAGTGGCAATCGCGGGGATGATATTGCCTGCCATAGCTGTTAAAAAACTATGTTGTGCATATCATGGAACAGAAAATTATAAACAGACATTTCTTCCTTTTCAATTACCTCAAGTGAAGATACTACATGTACCTTGAAAATTATGTTTTCTGCATCTTTTATATTTATGGCACAAAGATTGGTAATATTTAAATTCATTTTTTGATAAATTTTTTTTAATTTTCAACAAATTTTCAGCAATTAGGCAAGCCCTTCTCCAAAGCACAAATTTCAAAAAGAAAATGAGGTTCAGATCAATGAGTCATCAAATACTTTCAGAACTTACATTTTATATCGAAAAGTGTTTTGCCAGGTATACCGAAAATATAAGCACGTAAATTAGAACAGGCTGCGACAAGGTACATCGCTGGATCATCATCCTTAACAAAAATGATTTTAATTCATAGGTCTTTAAATTTAAAAGTAAAAACACTCAGTGTTCAAAAAGATGACAAGTATCGAGAACGTTCTGCAAAACATAAACAAAAATTATCAACATCTCTCACTAAAATACTGAGAGCTGAACTTTCGCTCATATTACTTTCAATTGAAAAAACAAAGTGAACCTTATCCCAAGTTAAGACCAAACCATCCTTTACACGTTCCCGTAGGATCACCAAGGCATTTTCAAATTCGATCCTACATTGTAACATCGACCAAACTTCTCCTTTTTCATTATTACTGCTTGAACCTGCATCTAAAAGCTGCTATATTTCATTATAGGCAATAGAAAATGAAACATTCGTTAACTTTCTATTTACACGATTTTCAACAATGACAAAATTAAAATTGAGAATTTAAAATACACATAATCTTGCCATAGTTCTTCAGAATTATAATGAAACTTGGTTCCAACAGCAGAGATTTCGATCACACTATCACCCTTAATTTACAAAGCAACTAGCATATTACTGAATATCATACAATTTCATATTCGTTCAACATTGTTAGTTCGAATAAAAATGTTCAAACATTTTATAAAAACTTACTTTCATCTGGGAGATTATCCCAAATTAACGGGGTTGGCTTTCTTCGTTCTTTCCACAAATTAGTCATGGTTAGAAGATAGATAATATCATCATGGAAAAACTGCAATAATATTAGAAGAAATATGATGCAAAAAATGTCCTTAAGGGCAATCTTGAAACAAAAAGTTTTTTAGCCTCAAAAATAGAGAAAACGAAATGCATTTTATTACATATAAAAACCTTAAAAATTATAAATAAATGCTTAAATTAAAACCATTATTTCCTTCATGGCAAAAAATACCAAATATACATTAACACAAAGGCCAGAAACAAGAGAATATCTCGAACTGGTACAAAATTTCGTTGGGAACATACTAAATACATAAGACTTAGATCTGATGTAATTAATAAAACATAAAATTCTACACCAAGCAACAAAACCCTGGAAATTTAAAGTTCTAATAATCTCTAAAAATTATACTTTTTTGAAAAGAACTTCTGCATCATAACAATTATCCGCCACCCACTGTCGAGTATTGATTCGATTCATAAGGCCATTATTACTATCGCCCATAAATGTATCATTGATATCTTTCGTATCTAACCCTATGTCTTCTTTCTCACCAAAATTATTTGCATTAGGATCAGCTAAATTTTCTTCATCTGTAAAATCTGGCGATACTTCGTCTTCATCTTCCGGTTCTCCAAAAAGTTGGCTAAAAAAAATAGAATAAAAATGATTAGCACACTCTTTAAAAGTGAGATAGCATTACTAACAACCGGTAAAATACGCAAGTTTCATCACAATATATTAAATACAAAGTAAAATTATTAATAGTTCAAATAATTAAATATTAGAGATTAGTATACTTGAAAAGATGTTTAGCCCAGACAACACAGTGAATATATTCAGATGGCGTATTACGAATGGTACATCCAGGAAACGTTTTCTGTATTGCCTTTGGATTACATTCATAGCATTCTGTGAGATCGCGAATAATAGGGCGTACCTAAATTTGGAACAGTTCAGTAGTTTCAAAAATTCTGATTTCTATAAAATCTTTGAGCAAATTCTTGAAATCTGAAAATTTGTTAAACATACGTGTCCTAAATATCCGGAAGAACCACTTTCTATTAAAGGCACTCTAGCCGCTAAACACAGTCGATTGATATGATTACGTGCAGCTGTAAAAGAACTTGCAACTTACAAACAATATCAGATATTTCAAATGTAAATTTTAAACCAATTCTTAATTTATAGCACTCAAACGTTACTTTGACTTAGTAAACTATTACTTTAATTAAATAATTTATGTCTTGACCTATATTATCCAGTGCACCAAATACGACCCGAAATTTCTGGAAAAAGTCGACATCGTACTCACCACTACAATTATTCAGTAAACTACAATTATATTTAATAACGTACACATATTTACTGCACGAATTTTGATTTCCAAATCAGGAAAGAGATCGTCCAGTATAGCAAAATATCCATAATTCGAAAAGAGTCAAAAATTCTTCAGTTTTCATATAAATAAATCCATGAAAAAAATTTAGGTCAATTTTAAATATAATCACTATGACTAATTATACAAAAAAGTGAAAATCAAAATTTGATGTAAAAAATTACAATTACATACTTCAGCACCGAATCATGATAAGATACAATTCTAGCACCAGGTGCAATCGCCCGAACTGCATCTGCCGCAATTATTGCTTTAGGCTTACCGATGTGTTCACGACGGAATAGAAATTGTCTATTTAAGTTGCTTACAGCAATTGTATCCAAGTCTATCTGAAACTAGAATGATAAAATAAACAAAATTTCGCATACAACTAATAAGTACAAATTTTTATTTGATAAAGACCACAACCAAAAATTTGAAAAGTACTTTAACACCCTGCATAATTTAATTGGCAAGTGAAATTTATTTACTGGCAGATTAGATCCATCAATTAAAATATGTGAAACATCACGTACAGTTAAGAAAATTTTAAAGCTAATAAGAAATAGCATACAAATTCCTAGTATTTTATTGATAATCAATTGAGATTAATTTTTGAGAATTCGTATATAAATGGCTTAATACATTTACTAAATTTTACTAAAAAAAAATACAAAACCTACGATTTCAATGTTGGAGAAACCTGTAAGAGCTAAATTTTTTAACAATTCGCAACCAATTCCACCTGCACCAACAACCAGCACTGGGCATTGCAAAACTTCTAAGAATTTTTCATCACGCCAAGACATCTGTATTTTGAACGTAAAAAATCGACATTTTCAAAAATAAACTAAATTTCTGAATAGAGATAAGAAAACAAGCAGTGCAATTTTTACATTTAGTAGCTGATATACCAATCGATAATGAGAACATTATATACCGTTTTGGTTAACACTATTCAATTATCAAAGAGTAGATCAAAACTTTTCCTCATCTATTAAAAATTAATAAGTAACACAACAAACTCTATGGACCTTCGTTTTTAATGCCCAAAAATTATGAACTTTTATAATTAATTAAATTAGTACTACACCTATCTTTATGCTAAATTCAAATTTATGTTGATAAGCACTGCAAATACAATAAAGCATTAAACTTGAACACTACGAAAGAAGACAAACCAAGCACCCAAAAATCTTACGCGAATCCATCATTTCGAAAAACTGCACACTTAAATAGGAGCAGCAATAATCGAATGCGCGTAAAATCGTTGTGAGACCAAGAATTTTAAAAAATGGTCAAATTTCTCATAATTCAACTCTTGCTTTTAGACACAATGGAAGTTGACTTAGTCATCTGATGACCGTAAAATAAGTCTAGCGTGACAGGCTTGTCACTTGCACCTGCACATCTCTCACGTACATCCCCTCCATATCATTGTAGTTGGGTTCTCACTTTGGTTAATACCAAAGTAGTAACTTCTACCCAGCTCGTTATTTTCTACATCCAGATATTCCCATTTTTTTACAAACACACTGCCAACACGCGATTCATAATGAGTTACTCATGTCGATAATGTTTCATATGGACAGCTCTCTCAACAATTCAGCACCTTTATTAAGTACTTCCATTAAACAATTTCGCATCTAATAGTTCCAAGACATCACAACTTGCACAGACTTTGAATTATGTTCTTTCGCTTACTCAACTGAATTGTATGCACATATGTAGTCTTCTGCATTCTACCACTGTAATCCGATAGTTATTGATATGTAAAAGTATTGTACTAAGCCTATCTTTTAGCAAAAAATTTAGTATGTATTTTACATGAACTGAATCAAGTTTAAATGAGTAGTCACATTGCATGCAAAATTTCACAAAATCATTCAAAACTGAAAACAGTCCCGCCAATATTACTAAATATAATTCTGATGGCAGTGTCGAAGGCATACATGGTCAGGAAAAATAATACAAAAGTATTTCAAATGACAGTTACAAAACCAGATTAAAACCGAACCAAACGAATGCAAAATAGTCATCGGTGACAAAAATTAATAAGTGGCAATAGGCTTCACATCATGCAATTCATTCGTGTAAGATATTCGCTATGCAGATAAATGCAGAGCTCAGTGGACACAAATTTTTCGCTACCAAAAGTAGAAGTATATGAAGCAATAACTACTCGTATTACCTGTGTACCTATTACAGTATACATTTTTTAATAAAAAGTATGGAATAGTACGGCTTTGTCTCAACCATGGTTGAAATTATTAAGCAAAATACTGAAATAGAGTGAAATATTTCTTACTCATATAATCAGAAAAGTTGCAACCGATACGCCATCAACAAATCTGATGAAGAACGATGAAAAAATCCTTGCGCTTTGAATGAATCTCACTAGATTCCGTACATCAGCTTTACATACAAATTAAGAGCTGTGAATTCGCAATAAATTAAAAATTTTCTCAAAGTCTACATCTTCCAGATTTTTACTTACTGAAAAATAAAAGCTGGCACCCATAATCGTATTATAGAAATAAGAGCAAATTAAATCTCAGACTATTTTTATTTATAAGTCTCCAACTGATCCCGCCCAGACTGGAGTTTCATTTATTTTGCTGAAATTCACTTGTGAATCTGAATTCGCATCTGTTTCATCTGGTATCCTTAAAAATATCCAGCAACAATAAATACTGTAAATTACAAGGATTTTCATCAAGTTTGGAAATTTGGAAAAATTATCTGATACCTTTGAGGCCTTTACAACAATAAAGATGCAAGATTACCTGTTTCTAACGATACTATAAAGCGAAATAGTGAAAAATGCAATCATATATACAACAAGCGCTGCACTCAGGTAAGGCAGATATGGTCGTAATGGACCACCTAACCAACTAAAATAATAACTGCAGTTAAAAGAAAAACAATTTGAAAGCAAACTTCCTCTACATACTTTTTACGAGGTAATATTTTTATTAAATAATTAAGTATTACAGTACGAATGTCACTTTACTGCCAAAATTTAAACCCTTCTTATTTCATGCATGTATACATCAAGCATTTATCGTTTATTCAAAGGTTTTATCCTCGATTACCTATCCTGAATTTATCGATAGGGAATACTTAAAATAGCACGCAAAAGACAATAAAAGTTTTGAATTAAACCCCTGCAAAGAGAAAAACACAATCACAATATCAAATTACATCGCAAAATCGTAGTACTTTGCTAACCTGTCAAACACGATCTTTACGTTAGGCCTTGGTGGCATTTCACGACGATGTCCATACCGTTCTTTCTCACTCTGATAAAATTTTTTCCAATACTGTTCATTCAGTACTCGTTGAGCTTTTTCATATTCTGCAGCACTACGTCGCATTTCTTCAAAGACCTGTAGAATGAAAAAATGATTTGAAATTATCGATCACAAGCGTCAAATTTTCTTCATAAAACTAGCAGAATCTTTCTACATCTTTTCTAAAGAATCACATCAGTTTCATACAAATTGTTTCTTCGTTGCAAGCAATAACAGAGTAAGCATTTGCGATTGGCAAGCATACTACTTCTATTTAAATTATTACAATAAATTATAACCTTTTTTAGATGAGCGTCGTTAAATGACCAGTCTGCGTGATGACTGCTTCCAGCGTAACGATTACTTCTCCACGTCGCATATGTGCTTCGCCAAGCATTATTTGCTCTTGACTGATATGTTCTTGTAGTATAATCGCTTTCCATTTGTGTACGATCAGTATCATACTTCAGCCGACTTTCATCGTTTTTTAATACGTCATATGCATCCTTAATCTCGATAAATCGTTGAGTGAGAACACTTTCAGGAGAACTTCCAGTTATATCAGGATGATACTAAAAATATAAATCTAGAATTCATAAGACTACATGGAACCTACAGATAAACACAGATCAAATACTGTATAAAAATTGAGATCAAATACTGTATCAAAGTGAAAATAACGAACCACAACTGTATAAATACACTCCTGTGGTGTGGATGATTGCTAGAGTACAAGAAAAGATCATTTTAAATGTGTAAACCCAACATATCTATACTAGCCTTTTTGGACAGTTTATAAAACGCATCTTTGATTTCTTTCTGTGTAGCACTACGTTTGATTCCCAATATTTCGTAATAATTTTTCTGAGAATCAATTGACTGCCGTATACGACGAATGGATACATGCAAAATTAGCTTTGATGAGACTGATAATAACCCCATTGACATTGCAGAACTGTTCCGAACTAATCGTAGCGATCCTCCAATTCATTTTTCAGAATTTATACCCATAAGGTCTAAACTGAAAAACGGCTACATCTATCATTATTCACTTGTAGCTTACTTAGAACTTTGAAGTACAGGAACATGACTGAGCTGAACTGCACATCAACTCGTTTCAAAGATATACGTACTACTGAAACTACATATTACAATACATACAAGTATATGGCAACTGTATTATAACTGCCAAAATAATTTTTCATTTTAATACACATTACTACGCTGATGTAAACGTGTACAGGAAATTTTTATCATAGTTTAGTGTTAAATAGCACGAGTAATTTCATAATGAAAAAAATTTTCAAAGGCACGTTATAGAATAACAATTCTCACAATCTACTTCACTGATGTGTCTTTGTTACTGATAAAAACGATTGAATACAACATTATATAACTAAAGCATAAATACAAAACCGTCTTTTAAACATAATCATAAGTAACATTCTCTCTCGAACATAATATAGCTTGACAAAACGAATTAAGTACCTAAAACGTTGAAAAAACGTAAAATACATTTTTTAAATATCATTTAAAAATCCAGGATATGCCTAAAAGGTACCAAAATTGTATTGCAAAACATCCTACAGTTGGAAGTTTTTCAAAATATTCTCAAATGAGGAAGACAAACATGAAAACATAATCAGGTTTCAAGTAAATTGCATGAAGATTAAAAATTATACACTACAAGAAATTCCAGTAAAAATCCAAATATTCTGCAAAAAGAGGAATTTCAAAATTTCTGTGACAAAACTTAGTTAATAAATTATTAATATTTTATCATTAAGAAAATTTAGAATGCTCTAGATTTATGAAAGTAGCATATCGTGTAGTGTATGAAGGACAAAAATTATTGCACATAACTGGATGATCACTAGAAAAACTTTGGGGGCATATTTCGAATAATTTTTTTGAGAAACACAAAGACCTATAAATAACTTGGAACTGATAATCTATTACTGCATGACAGAACGGTTTGGAGAAGGCATGAAGAAGGGTTACAAATAAAACAATATTCATAACACGCTGCGTCAATTTTCTAATCACAAAAGCTGATTTCACTTCTAAATTTTTTTACTTGTAAGCTAATAATTTTTAAATTGCACTATAAGTGAACAATTTTTTCATAGTTAAATTCAGTACCTAACTCATAATTATTGCTAGTTCTGGAGACACACTGAAGAATAAAACTGAATAATGTTAGCAAAAAATATAAACGAGTAAGTACATGATCTACTACTAGTAATGCAAAACTTGATTATATTCAGCTTGTATCGTTACTGATGGCACGTAGGCTCTTCTGTTCTTGGATCTGCGGTCATTTAATTTTCAGTTTCGATTTCGCTCATCTTCTAGATGGTGTTTCAGATCCTCTCTATCGCCTTTTTGAACCCCGTTTCTTCTCACATATTCAATCCAACCTTTACGTCTGATACTGAAAGTTTGTGTTCTCCAATTCGTGATATATTAACAGATGAAACTGAGCTCTATTGCAATGACAAAAAGCGCATTATTTTTGAAAGTGCATTAATCTCATCAATACCAAGGCCCAAAATCTGATTACTTCAAGAATTATGGAAAATCTTACTGTTCCATCCGAATGCGCACAATCACTGAAGTTACAAAAAATACCACCACGAAAATCATAGTTGTTTTTAACCAATAATCCCCATCAACGCTGAAATTCTCTACGTTCATTTTCACATTATTAGAGGTAATAGAGACCTGCAACCTAATTCTTAATGTTAATGTCCTAATTCTTAATGTTAATGTCAAAATCATTTTACATTAAAATTTTCGTAGAAAATTCTTCCATCAGTGATACAAAACAGCAGTAACAATATTCCTGAAAAACAATAATATATTCCTGAAAAAAATATATAGGATAGTTCGAACAGTGACGTAGTACTACTTAATATTTAAAACTAATTACTTTCGACTGTAACGTGTCCCCATACTCTCCATTTGTCGTTTCCGGTACCATTCATACCACCTATCATTTTCATACTGCGGCGTTCTCGCGTAAAACTATAAAATACATCATAAAATGAGGAAGATAAAAATTACGAAAATTTAATATGCTATTGATGTTTTATGTCAACTCCTGTTATAACATAACTATGAACAGAGACCTTTCAGGTTGTATCTTCAAGAACTGAACAAAAAAAATAATATATACATGTCTGTGCAAAATTTTTTTAAAACAGTACCTAATACCAATTTGTTTTTGCAAAGCATATAAGAATTGTTCAATAAAGTAACCACCAAGGTCTTGGACAAATTAAAAGTAACGAAGACTAAATTGGATCTTTTAAAATTTGCAAAACTTTACAAATTTTTCGATACAACAGCATTTACATCCTTTCACTGATCATCGAATAATTTGTACTCATTAATATCACAAATATTAACAGAATTATTACAAACAATTGAAATTGCAAGCTGCAAAAAATTATAAAAAGATAACATACATTTGATGGATTCCTTTGTTTTCGATTAACAGCATCTCTGTGATCGTTGTGACTTTCACTATAACTTGATGCATCCGAGAATCCTAAGTCGTATTCATATCGCTTCTTTTTGTCTTTCAACACTTCATAAGCATCTTTAATTTCCAAATACATCGCAGATCGTATATCAGATTTGTCCGATTTTAAAGTGGCATCCGGATGATACTGAAATTCACATAAAAGGCATCAGGATAATGTAATTTATTCAATTCTTCGCCAAAAGCATTTGAAAATTACAAAACGCAATTTTTTATTTTCTAACTCATGGAATAGCTTTTTACATACTCAATTATGTTCAACAATGACGATGTATAAGTAATAACAATACAAAATCTCATATTTGAAGCTGCTAATATCAAAATTATCATAAATTCTAAGAATAGGAGCACCAGTTTTTTATAACTCTCATTGTTTTTTACACCTGAGTTAAATTTAAATATCTGAAAAATGGAGTTGCATTCTTTGGCATTCGTTTTTTGGCATATCAAATGTAAAAACTGTTGGTTTCCATCTTTTTTACAACTTCAACCATGTGAATACTAGACAGTATATTGTCATTCAACTAATTCGAATCAGACTAAATACTTTCGATGTCTTTAATTGAACACAGTACAAATTTGAATATATCACATTTAATTAGCTTATTTGAAATTTTTCCTGAAAATGCTGATTGTGATGAAGTGAGGGCAATATTTCGTTCAAAATACATCAGTAACAGAATAAATTAATGAAGTACAGACATAACGGATAACCGTACTTTTTTAGATAGCTCATAAAATGCTGTTTTGATTTCGGCGAGAGAAGCACTCGGTTTCACACCCAAGATATCGTAATAGTTTTTAGATGACTTATTTCGATATGTACAAAGCCAACGGTAAGACGAGTAAGTTAGTGATCCACGAAGTGATGGTTTTGCTGCACCGTTTATCCGTGGGAGACACATTAGGCGAGTAAAGCGAGCAATTTGTTGTTAGTCAAAATATTGGCTACAAACGTCTAATATTCTTGCAAAACCATTAACTGAAATTAGAGAGTGAATTACATCTTGATGATTTATGAATAATACCATATTACGACAAAAAAAATCACGTTTCTGGAATACTTTATCATACTTCTTATAGAATACATTCTAAAACGATATTCTGAAACATGTTCTCAATCCCAATGTAACCCTAAATGAAAATCCGATACAAGTGCAAGTTGTTGCACATAATTTCTTCTGACTTAATAAAAAATTATCGGCTGCGGCGTAGTCATTTTGTATAATACAAATATAGAAGTAACAAACAAACTACAAGTATTAAAACCATACATAAGAAAATCAAATCATAAAATGCTGGATACAATCCAGCCGGCATCTATATATGCTCATGAATATTGCTTTCTGTTCTTCGATTAACAAAAAAAAATCTATCTAAATCTCGAACAGAACACAATGCTAAGAGACAGTGTCATTTCAAGTTCCATTAACATGCACTCAAGAGCAAGAACACAAAGTACATCGTGACATATATCTTTCATACCTTTTACAGAAAAAAAAATGAAATATATTCATTTACAAAGATTAATATTTCATAGCATCACCATATTATAAAGTATTTATTTCAAATAAATGATAGGATCAATCTCATTCCATGCAAATTTAACATTTAAATCAAACTCTTTAGGAGATTTCAACTGAGTTATTACAGCTACTGTTCCAGTGCTTAATGTTTTTGAAACAAATATCATAATAACTGTCAAAATTTTCAAAAATCCAGCATTTACGTAGTTAAAATATACTAAAGAAAACTAAAAGAGCAACAATCTTAATTTAAATCCCTTTCTAGCAACTGATGCTACCTACTAACATCATTTGAAAATTAATATTGATAATATAATCAGGGGATATAAAAAATCATAAATTTGCTTTAGTATTTCATAAAACCTGAAACATAGTAATCATCGTTATTCTTTGTAAATTATCGGTAATCCAAAGGAAAATACAAACAGGAAAATGAATACTAACAGTGAAGTCTGATAGACTTCTTAAACTTAGATACATATACATTATCATGTTCTAGAAAATTTTTTCCTTTAGATGATCGTTTTAAAAGAATAAAATACATGACACTACCTAAATATTACATTCAAACCTCATTTATATAGTTTTTCACTGTTAAATACATACCCTAAAAATCTAAATTCGATCATCCTAATCTGCTGTGTCTTGTTTTGTATAACTGTTGCGTTCAAGATGCCTGAAAGTCTTATATATTTTCAAAATCATGAAATTAGTTTCATATTTACAATCCAGTGGCAAATGCTTAATAAATTAGTACATTAGTCTCCAAACTCTGAGAGAAATCTCAATACTGACGAATAGCTAAGAGCCAAAGAGATATGAGTAGCTCTTCAATTCATTTGCTTAGCTGATTAAGGTACTTCATTTTCATGCCGCATATCAACTAATGAGTGATAAATCCACAAATATTGAACTCATAAAACAATAATATTACATCTATTTAGAGAATCGCTAAATAGCGCCTACTCATTTTATCGTCATAACTGTATGAAGACATCCTTTTACAAGGAAATTTACCAAACATAGAGTCCTTGTAGAATTAAAATCAGTGTTAAACCACCAGCAGTAAAATACAACAGCGAATTATCTGAACTATCTGCTAATCGTACATAGAAATCACGACTGACAAATTCTCGAGCCGTCATACCAAAATTTGTCATAAAACTATAGTTGTTCTGTGCAGTATTACCACCGTAAAGGTTAGTATTCTCTGGTCTCTGAAAAAATTAACTGTACAGTCACATATATAAATCCATTACAATGTAGACTAAATCAATTTCTTCCTTGTCTACCCCAAACAACTGAAATTAACTGGTAATGGGCCAATTAATAAAAAAGTGTTGAGTCCCATAATATGAAAAAAGTCTTAATAATAGAACCAAAGTTCTCACCCTATTGAAACGCTGCAATTTCTCTATTCCTATCATTTGATCATACTGTTTTCTTCGAACTGAACGTCGTAAAATATCATAAGCAGTTTTCAGCTGCATGAATTGTTCCGTGACATCTGGGGAGTATTTATCCAGCATCTTCGCCTTTTCAGGATTGAAATCCCTTCCATCTGGATGGAGCTAATGAAAAAAAACAGTCAACTGAAAAATGTCACTTGCCAATATTACTACATCATCTATCAGTAACTTTTTCATGAAATTTACTTTTGTTTTTTTCACTGAAACATCAGCAGTCCACAATTTAGTAACCAGTTCTGGCAAACTTAAATACTCGTTTCTATTTTACAATGCCTGCTTGATTTAGAGATAATTACTTTGCTATCTCTTTCATACACTCAACAAGGGTAGCAATACCTGCATTTAATTTATATAAAAGTTCTAGCATATATATATATATATATATATATATATATATATATATATATATA